GGCAGCTTTAAATATTAGAATGATAATTTATATGTTCTGTAATGTTATATAAAATTTATAAATTTTTCTGTTATTCATTGAACATGTTAAATTAACATAGTTTTACTAATTTAAAGTTATATCAATTGTTATCTATTTACAATTATGTAAAACAATGTTTGTATTAATAATGTTGCTAAGAGTTTTGTAACCCCTTTTAAAGGTGAAAGCCGTAACAAATAAACGATTGATTATTATTCAGTGTTGTATGGAAATGTTTCTAAAAATATCGTGGAAATAAGGTAGGTTGATACAGAAACTATTTATCACACATGTACTGTATATGAGCTTCAAAATAAATAAATAAAAATAAATTTTATCAAACGATGAGATCAGTCGATTAATTGTATCGTGTACAATATTTTATACCCCCAAGGAAAATACTGTAGGTCTACGATAAAATCAATTTTGTTTTCCCCACAGTTAAACTTCGCCGCTAATTGTTGTTGTGATAACTTTAACACGATCTTCTAATGACAGCACTTCGCATTTCTTTTGTTTTTTGGACAATTTCGAACAAACTGAAATGAATTTTTTTGTTGCTAGACTAATTCATTAACACCTGCACCTAATTTCAAGGGTGGGAGAAGTGCCCGAGGTGGGTTTGAACGAGAGTTTAGACTAATTCATTATATTAGGAAGGGGGAAACGTTGAACAATAGTTTAGACCAGATATATTCACAGAAATGGTTGCTTATTACAGTTGTTGTATGTTGTTTCGAACCAAAATTCAATGCCTGCGGTTGCATTACACAGGTCATTTAATACAGGTGTGAGACCCGAAAGGCCCTGGGTATAATTTGTGAATTTTTATTAATAATGGTAAAATATCAACACAAAATATTACTTCGTTTTTGTGAAAAAAATATTGTTTTAGACGTGGGAAAAACCAGATAACAAATGTTATTTCCTTTCATCGAAGAGAACATCCTCTGTTTTTCCCGTATCTGGTTAAAAATCTCGCTCAGATGGGAAATGGTTACCCCTCATTCATCCCCCTCTCATCCGTTCTCACGAAAGAGTTACTGGACGATGATTGGACGAAATTTTGAAATAAAAGGGGAGATTAGTCAGAATTCGGGGAGTTCTTCGACAGATCCAAAGCATACAAACTCCACATACGTTTCCCTCCTGATGGCCAACGCCCAAAACGGAGTCCGATAGACTAAGTCCCGAGTCTATACTTAGAAGAAGTGATAATTTTATATTTTGTGCACGAATTGATCTCCCATACGATAGTAATATGAACCCTATCTACAAGGTGTCCTCTATCTACAGAAACGAAGACGACGACAACTAACAGGTCGTATGTTTAGAATAATTTTGTGAGCTCTCTCTCTCAAACGCGCATTAGCATAGATTCAGTCCTAGTCTTTAGCTTGTCGTATAATCGTTGTATTTGGTTATTTGTATTCGTTTGTTTGAGATTTATTAAATTTTACTTCTGTTTATTATACAAAAATGTCTCTTAATTGGGTGTCCGAATCAGATCGCATACGCGTGTTAATCCGCGTATAATAAGTTCGATTAACTGGTGTCGGGAACCTGACGAACGTCTGAACTTCACGTTCAGATCATCTTTGTTTACGCTCTCCTATGAAATAGATTAGGATCGGATCTCTCGATCTGAAACCTGGAGAACTAGTTTTACCAACTGGGTGCCGATTAAGTGGTACTAACGAATTAGAGTACCCCCGGCTGATCTCACACTATCATTGATAAGATGATGAAGCTTTATGAGGGGGAGAGTTTTATTGGACATTCTTTCTAAATTATTTCAAAATTTTATTATTTTAAATGAATTTAAAGCTGTGTAAATCACGGAATGTTTGACAAACTGGGACAATGGCGGAAGAAACGTAAAAATTTCAAGAAAAGTGTGGACGTAACTTATGGGCAGTCCCTTAATATCACATTACTTGTAAGACAAAGCTGAGCTTATTCTATTAACAAATAACAAAAGATATAATTAGTTAAATAAGAACGAGTATATTTTGTATGTGGCGTAGTAAACACTAGTATTGTGTTTTATTCCAAAGACACGTGGCAAGTTTTCCATCAAATTCCTTTATTAGTTGAGTCGATACGGTACATCGTTTTGTACTCGTTTCGGGCTTTGCCCTCT